ACATAATGTCAACATAAAAATCCAAAAACAAGTACAATCATGACAAAGTCTATCTACTTTTCCATGCATTAAACATATTGGTAGCCATAGTATTTCTAAATGCTAGCCACTCATCGGTTGGACTAATGTTTGTAATGTATTCGACTTCATTACTTTCATCCTCACTATTTGTTTCTTCTTCTTCTTCTTCTCCTTCATCTTCAAGGACCGACTCTTGGGGATCATGGCTCATAAACTTTCGAATCAAGTTGTGTAGGAGGCAACACGCCATTATAATTCGAACTTGGGTTTCAATTGGGAAGAATGAGGGGGATGCAAGAATCTTCCATCTTCCTTTCAACAATCCAAAACATCTCTCAATCACATTCCTTGCTTTTGAGTGTTTCATATTGAAGTACTCCTCAGCAGTGTTTGGTMGATGGCYRCTAAACTCTTTTAGGTGATATCGTTGTCCCCGATAAGGTGCAAGAAAACCATTAGCATTACAATATCCAGAATCAACCAAATAATAAGAACCTTGAGGAACTCTTAGGCCTTGAGGCCTTGAGATTGCATCTCGAAGCACACGACCATCATGCGCAGAACCTTCCCAACCGGGCAAAACATATATGAATTGCATGTTGGGGCAGCAAACACCTAAAACATTAGTTGAAATGCAACCCTTTCTTGTGCGATAACGAGGCTTTTCGTCACTAGGAGGTGTAACTTTAACTAAAGTCCCATCCAAAGCTCCTAAGCAACCCTACAAAACAAGGTATATATATACATCTCACTTGAAAACATTTCYGTTAACTTACAAATGTAACTACAAAACTAGTCATACCTGAAAACATTTCCATCTCCCATCTTGACAATCTTGTGTAATAGGCTCTGGTTTCTTGAGTAAGATGGAGTGCAACCTCAAAATTGCTAAAAGAACTAGATGAAATTGCCAACTAATTGTTTCTTTACTACGAAAAAATAAATTACTAATTGTTCTATTCTTTTTGTGGTGAGCCAAGGTGTATAAAAACATTGCMACAACCTCTTCAATAGAYRTGTTTCTAGTAGGCTTTAAMCATCCAACATCACTTACCATATCACATAGTACCCTAAAGGTTGCTCTATCCATACGAAGTTCACTAATACAAACAGAATCACTTTCCATTGTCAACCTAAACATCCATTTCATCCTATCCATTATTTTTTCATCCTTTGTTTTGATTTCACGAATCTTATATCGAATGTAGGAACAAATAACAACATAGTAGTTGGCGAGTACAAAGAGTAACATGTTATTTGTTGTTTGTTGACACAACAAAAGTTTCCTTAGTTTGCAATGCCTTTTATTAACCGGAGATCGAGCCATTTCGATCTACAAAAGAGATTTTAAACAAAAGTTTACTTCATTTTATATGGTGTTAACAAAAAACTGAAGATGCTATAACTAAGTGCAAGTAGGAATCGAACAACAATTTAGAACAACTATTTCATGGAACATTACACAACAATTTACAGCAGCTATGGATCATTCTAGAGCAGCTACGGATCAATTTACAGCAGCTATGGATCATTCTAGAGCAGCTACGAATCAATTTACAGCAACTATTTCATGGAGAACAACTATATATTTACAGCAGCTATCAATTTACAGCAACTATATATTTACAGCAGCTATGTATTTACARCAACTATCAACTTTTAACAATTCTTTCCTATTGATATTGGCATATATTTACAGTAGCTGGAAAT